GTTCATTCATATTTATCATGTTTATTTATGTGGTGTTATTAATGAAATCATAATAAACTGTTTATTTAAATTAATTATATGCTTATAACTTGCATGGAATGCCTATGTATGATTTATCTTAATATTTATTTTAAAAATTTGGTACATGGTTGAATGGAAGGCATGGATGAGTTGTCAAAGGTTTAATATATTGCCTTATTATTTGTTGAATAAATTACATACATTGAAAGTATGGACGAGTTGCTAATTAAAAGTATAAATACATATACTTGTGGAGGCATGGTTGAATTGCCAATATATAAATAAATTTATTTGTAAGGGCATGGTTGCTTTGCCAAAGCATAAATAAATTATTATATGTATTAGATGATTAAATTTACATCTATGATTATTATGTGTATGAGTTAGAGGTGATAGATATTCTTATATTAGAATAATCTAGTGTTTAAAGGTTAGTGTATTATTTTATAATATGAATAAAATAATATTGGTGAAGACATGGACGATTTGTAACGGTATGGATCTTTGCTATGTGATTTAAATAAATAAAATCTTACATTGATGGGTTTTGAGTTTTGGATTAAAGGAAACATTCCTTCAATTGTTATTTATTATTTAAATGGTTAATTAATTGTTTAAAAATAAAGTTAAGGTTAAAGGAGTTTTACTTAAAAAGGAGAAAGGTAATTGATGATTGGATTGCGTATGATTATGATTAAATCCTTACTTAATGGTTTTAAAAATTAATGAATAAATTAATGGATGTGACTATTATATTATATATAATTATTTAATTATATATATGTGTATCATCTTATATTAAATGTTAAAACTTTAATTATGATGATTTTGGTTAGAGATGTTTTATTTATCGATTTTCAGAAGCTTGGTAGAGGGAACTTGCTCACGATTTATTTTTTAGGTTATTAGTTATTAGAAGTTTCAGTCTCGAGGTTGAGGATCCGCAACTAGAAGACTGTCATTCATTTACTCATCTTGTTTACTTTTAAGTAGTATTGTTATTTATTGTTATGTGTTATGTATAAACTGGTGGATTAATAGTTTATGATTTAGGGGTCCTTGACTTAGAGGATTCCCGAGTTGTATTTTAGAATTTTAAATTTATAGAATTTATTTTTGTAAATCAGGTTTTATTTTATTAATAGAATTTCGTTCAGCGATTTATTCATTCGTTTTATTCTTCTTATATTCTGTGTTCATTTAAATACTAAATTGTTTTGATATCCTCCGGTCTTCGGGTGTGGGTCTGGCTAACCTACACGTGGAATTCAGGGGTATCACAGATATCCTATTCCGCTGTAATTCTCGGGGCATTAAAGGAGTTTGAAATTGAAGATAAAAGTAGTTTAGCCCTGATTGCTTCCAATGTTTGATGGAGCAAGGTGTTGGCTGAAAGGGATTTGTGCTTGTAGATTCATCGGTTTTTCTCTATCCAAATGTGATAAACCAGGGTTGCCAAACTCATTTTGGATATTGAGTTGCTGTGAAATTTGGAGATGCCTTTCCAGTGGTATGATGCCCAGTATATGAGCTCTGACTATGAGGATGGGTTAATGTGAAACCCACTACGTGCTTGGAGAAATACCCACAGAGGTTTGATAAATGAGCATCTAAAGAAGAGGTGGTCATGGGATTCCAACTCAGTGTTACAAAGTATACACATAGTGGCATTGATATGAGCAGTACATCTTCTGTCCAATGTAGGAAATCTTTATTGAATTGCAACCCAAAGGGTGAAAGAGTGCTTTGGAATTGAAGGCATTGTCCAAGCGAGGTGCGGCCATTAGAGGGAACTATAATGCTGAGTGAACTGTTTCATGGTTTAGGAAATAGAAAATTGTCTAGAGGAGGATGGAAGCCACAAGGGTTTATCATAGCTATTAGGCTTTAATGTGGGAAGTGAAGCAGTGCATTGTAGTTGTGGTTGGATATGGGTAATGGAGGATGGGAAAGACCATGAATTATTAGTAATGAAAGTGCATACCTTGGTTTTACTGCTAAACCTTGAGTCAATGATCTGTTGAGGGGAAGCCAGCTGATGAAGATGACCAATGTGGCACCATTGTAAAACCAGAAATTAGAGCTAGAACCATTTCCAATTTTGACAAGAGGCTTCATAACATCTCTGACGCTTAGGAGCTTCTTCTAACTCCAGGAACACTAGCCAGGTACCTTTACTTCTCATAAATTCTTCCCTTGAGTAGGTATGTATTAATCCACTTTACCCACATCATTTCTTTTGAGTTGAGTATGTGCCACAAGTGCTTTATAACAACACTCTCATTCTAAGTGCAGAGGTTGGGTATGCCATGTAATATTTATGATTTTTCCTATTTTCCATTTTCGTGAATTTTTTAATTTTTTCGGGATTTCTTCATTTTTGCCTTGTTTTGTGTGCTAGACCCCGTAGGGTGTTTCAAGTGAGTCCCGAGAGTTGGTTGGGGCAATTCTTTGAGTTTAGGACTCTTAGAAATGCATTATTGTCCATTTGGGCATTTTTTTTTTGTTTTTTGGGCCTGTCGGTCCTGAGCAAGACCTGCAACCAGTATTGTTGTTCACGAAACTCCCTGCCTCAGGCAGGTACAACCACCTGTCTTGATGAGAAAACAAAGGAAGTAACCTATTTTGACCTGCAGATCCTGTATCTCAAGGCGAAAAAGGAATATGTAATGCAGACTATGCAGGGGAAAGGTCCTTTTGTCACGCCCCAAAATCCTAAATACATGAACTCTTATCTCGTATTAAGATTTGACATGACTTTTTTTACACAACCACAACCTCACAATAAAAATAATTAAATAAAGAAGTAGATGTAAACCACCCTCTAATTTATTAAATCGATACAACCATAATATCAAACAACCTTGTCAAAAATAATCCATGATAATTGGACAAAATGAACTAACTCTCAAAAAAAAATATCGTCATTCTTATTACAATGCGAAAATTGAACTAAACCAAGGAATGCGACAACAAGCCAAAATCCATCACCATCATGTAATCCCATCACATTCCTACTCAACGTGTACCTGAAATGTGATAATGGGGTGAGCTCACAAGCTCAGCAATAAATGCTAAACACAATCATCGTTCAGCAATTTAACCTTACCTTATATTCCTGTATATATAAGCAACTCAAATAAGTTCATTATTCAAATTTGTATAACTCAGTTAATTATAAACTTAATAAATAGCTATCTTTTATTTTTTAATAAATCGGCATATCTCACATGAGCCCTGGGCTCCCGTCCAATAAAATGGTGTGAATCGTATAGTCCCTGACTACCAAAAACACACGTGTGGCTCGATTGTACGTCTACTCCCCAGATGATCCCTGATCACGCCCACACAATAAGGGCTCATTAGACCCATGGCCATAATAAATGGGGTAGTGCACTCCCAAATAGGTAGGTCCCTGATCATACCCAAGAGTCATCATAGGGTCAGTCCCTGACTGCCCTCCGACTAATCCAAACTCATCATTATTAATTATAGTGAATTATGAAAGATATCATTAATTAATAATTCAAATTAATAGTTAATGCACCCAAATATCATTTTAATTTGAAACCAGAACCCTAAAGATCCAACTAGTGAGAGTACAAAATTTCTGGACATAGCCTAACATTAGGTAAAATACCCTGCAAAATTTCAGAATTTATATCCTAATAGTTTTTCCGTACTCTCCCTTTTAGTGTTGAGAAATAATATTTTTTTAAGGTTTAATTTGGTAAACTTACCCAATAACATTTAAAATATGGATTTAAAACAAAACTAGATTCATTATGCAAAAATATAATATTCTGGAAAATATAATAATTTTTGAAATGTTTAAAATATTTTTCCTTAATTATTCTAAGTTAAAACTAATAAGAAAAAAGAATTTTAAAAGAAATACTTCTAATTCAGTTGGGCCCGAATGTAGCTTCCCAGATTGGGCCTAGTGTTGACTAACATTAAATTCAACATGGGCTTGACTCTTCCTCACATACCAAGCCCTACAATGACAATGTAGTAACCCAAAAATTGAATTCTTCCTTCCCAATTAAGTAAACCCATATCGAACCAAAACCACTATTTCATTCCAACATCTAATTGACCCAACATTCTATATTAACATTAATTAAGTTCATGACTATTGATTCTGTTTACAGAGTAGAATTATATTCCTTCACAAATTCTATTCATTCAATGCATGTAGAATTTCGTCAATAACAGGTCCCTTCTTTCTTCCTTATCAGGTTTTCATTTAATTATATATATATATATATATATTACATACTATACACATATGCATGCCTATCACCCATAATGAATTAAACAACAATATTGCCACATTGATTCCATACTCAAACATAAACAGAACAATAATCAACGTTTAAATATTCTAAAAATTTAATTTTCTAAGTTCTGTTAATTCATTAATTACGCATGAAACTGCCAATCTATTTTCAACTAACATCTCATTAAAATGCTATTTGTCTTTAACATCACATATAGTGATTAATCAGCACAGTTAACAAAGAAAGTTACAAATATATATAAGTGTACAAAGCAAGATTAACTTGCCTGGTATAAATAATTCTTCCTTCCTACGCGACTTCCCGATTACCGTTCCTTTCCCCGGCTACTGCAAGAAAACACGACGTCAAATCACTCTCTCTGGTCCCTTCTTCTCCCGTTATCGTGCTAGTATCTCTTTCTTTTTTTCTTTTCTTTTCTTTTTTTTTTTTTATATAAATAAAACGTATTAGAGAGTTATAGAGATATAGGGAGTCTGGTGAGATAAATTAATTTTTTTTTAAAATTTAAATTATTTAACAAACTTTATCACAATCACCCGTTTTAAATTAAATCAGAGATAACCATTAAATTATATTAAGTAAATAAATATATGATATAAATATATATATGTATTTTACACGGGTCTTACATTCTACCCTCCTAGAAAGAAATTTCGTCCTCGAAATTTGCGTACCTTATTCGAATAGATGTGGGTACTTTCCCTTCATTTCTGACTCTAGCTCCCAAGTAGCCTCTCTCTCATCCTGATGATTCCACTGTACCTTCACCAGAGGTATCTCTGCTCGCCTCAACTGTTTCACCATACTGTCAATAATGCGAACAGGCGTCTCAACATAGGTCGTATTAGGGCAAATCTGGACCTCTGTGCAGTCAATGGCCTGAGTTTCATCCCTCAAGCACCTCCTCAACATAGAGACATGGAAAACATCGTGAACAGCTGATAGTCTAGGTGGTAGAGCCAATCTATATGCCACCACTCCAGCCCTCTCTGTGATCTCAAAAGGTCCAATGAATCGAGGAGCTAACTTCCCTTTCTTCCTACCAAATCTCGTAATCCCCTTCATTGGTGATACTTTCAAGAACACCAAGTCACCCACACTAAACTCTAAAGCACGACGGCGTCGGTCTGTATAACTCTTTTGTCGACTCTGAGCTGTGCGAAGTCGATCTCGAATGATGGCAACCTTCTCCGTAGTCTCTTGCACCAACTCTGGCCCCAAAAGACTACCATCACCAACCTCAGCCCAACATACAGGTGAACGACAAGGTCTACCATAAAGTGCCTCATATGGTGCCATGCCGATACTAGCCTGATAGGTAGATAATGAGCTGATTTAGTCAATCGGTCCACTATCACCCACACTGTATCATAGTTATGTATCGACCTCGGTAACCCCACAACAAAATCCATCGTCACATGCTCCCATTTCCACTCAGGCACAGGCAAAGGCTGTAATAGTCCTGCTGGTCTCTGGTGCTCAACCTTCACTCGCTGACAAGTTAGACATCTAGATACAAACTCTGCCACATCACGTTTCATGCCTTCCCACCAGAACTGCCTCTTAAGATCATGATACATCTTAGTGCCACCTGAGTGCACTGTGTACCTAGAGTGATGTGCCTCCTCTAAAATCTCTCTCTTGAGGTCTGCTAAGTCTGGAACATATAGCCTACCTCGAAATCTCATACCACCATCAGCTCCATACGTCCAGTCAACATTACCTTCATCATTAACAGCCTCAACTGCTTTGGTCTGTAACCTATCATCTTGAGTCTGAGAGTGAATGATCCGGCTAACCAAAGTAGGTTGTACAGTCAAACTACAAAGAAGAGCCCCTGTACTCTGAGAACTCGGCATGATAGAAAACTCTGCCAATGCCTCTAACATCATCCACTCCTGAATCATCATAAAGGCAACTAATCCTCTCGGTTTTCGACTCAAGGCATTCGCTACCACATTAGCCTTTCCAAGATGATACTGAAGGGTCATATCAAAATCCTTCATCTTCTCCATCCACCTCCGTTGCCTCATATTCAACTCCTTCTGAGTGTAAAGGTATTTGAGGCTCTTGTGATCAGAGAATAACTCAAATTCCTCGCCATACAAGTAATGCCTCTACACCTTCAATGCAAGAACCACTGCTGCCAATTCCAGGTCATGTGTAGGGTAATTTTGCTCATGTAGCTTAAGCTGCCTAGAGGCATACGCTACCACCTTATCATCTTGCATCAATACATAGCCAAGACCCTGATGTGATGCATCTGTGTAGATCACAAATCTCTCACCACTAGCAGGAATGGTAAGAACTGGTGCTGATATCAATCTCGTCTTCAGCTCCTCAAATGCCTGCTCACAGCGGGTGGTCCCAAACAAACTTCACATCCTTCCGAGTTAACCGGGTCAAAGGTGCAGCAATCTTGGAGAAACCCTCAATAAAGCGCCTGTAGTATCCTGCCAGTCCTAAGAAGTTACGAATCTCAGTGACAGTAGTAGGCCGTTTCCAACTCATCACAGCCTCCACCTTGGCAGAATCTACTGAAACTCCATCCTTAGAGATCACATGCCCCAAAAACTGAATCTGCTCCTGCCAAAAGTCACACTTCTCAAACTTAGCATAGAGCTGATGCTCACGCAAAGTCTGAAGTGTAATGCTCAAGTGTCTCTCATGCTCCTCCTTAGTCTTGGAATATATCAGAATGTCATCAACAAATACTACAACAAACTGATCCAAGTAAGGTCGAAACACTCGGTTCATCAAATCCATAAAAGTTGCCGGAGCATTAGTCAACCCAAAAGGCATGACTAAAAACTCATAGAGGCCATAACGAGTCTTGAAGGCAGTCTTAGGAATATCCTCCTCCTTAATCCTCAGTTGATGGTATCCAGTCCTCAAGTCAATCTTAGAAAACAACTGCGCCCCTCTAAGTTGATCAAACAAATCATTAATGCGTGGCAATGGGTACTTATTCTTAATAGTGACCTTATTCAGCGCACGGTAGTCAACACATAAGCGGAGTGACCCATCTTTCTTCTTGACAAATAAAACAGGTGCTCCCCAAGGTGATGTGCTAGGTCGAATAAACCCCCCGATCTTGCAACTCTTGAGTCTATTTCTTCAACTCACTTAATTCAACTGGCGCCATTCTGTAGGGTGCCCTAGAGATAGGTGAAATACCAGGAGTGAGGTCGATGCAAAAATCCACTGCCCTCCTAGGAGGCAAACTCGGAATATCCCGAAACACATCTGCATACTCTGACACTGTAGGCAACTGCTCTATAGTCATGCATTGCTCAACCACCTCGATGTGGGCCAGAAATCCCATAGTCATGGTGCCCTCAAACTCCCCACACTTATATCGAGAAGGTAACTGTCCCGGAACTGAGAATACAATAATCTTCTCATGGCAGTCCAACTAAGCATGATATATAGCCAACCAATCCATACCCAGTATAGCATCAAATTCTCTCATACGTAATACTATTAAATCAATAGGATACTCCAACTCCCCAATTGTAACAGGGCAAGCACGACATATTCTATCAAGTGTCGTCGCGCTCCCGAGTGGAGTTGTAATAGATAAGGCATTACTTATATGTCCAGGTTCTAATCCCAGTGTATCCACAAATGATAGTGTAATAAAAGAATATGAAGAACCTGAATCAAATAGTACTCTAGCTATACTGTCATAAATAGTAAGTGTACCTTCCACTGCTGGTGGTGCACGATCCTGTCTCCTATCTGGAACAACTGCATAAACCCTTGCACCTCCTTGTTGCTGTGATGCCTGACCTTTTGTTTGTTATTCTTGTGAGGCTTGGGATAATTACGAGCCAAATGTCCTTACTCACGACAATTGTAGCAATGCCTGCTGAACTGATATGGCTGTGCACCATGAGGTGTGGCTGGTACTACAGCTGTGGATTGCTCACCTTCACCAACTCTCTGCCATTTCCCTGCTCGCCAATCTTGTCTGCCTCTCTGCCAAGACTGACCCTGCCAGTTTCTTTGAGTTTGCTGCTGTTGACCCATCTGATTTTGTTGAGAGCTGCTCTGATTCTGTTAAGAGCTGCTAGCCCCCTTACTTTTCTGCTCTGCCCTACGCTCCTTCTGTTTTTGAAAGGCAATGTTATTATTCTCCTCTACTGCCATAGCACATTCCACCACTCTAGCATAAGTGTCAAAACGATGACCCACCACAAACTTCTTCACATAAGAGACCAATCCTCGCTCAAACTTTCTAACCTTGTGTAACTCATTCGCAATAATGTGAGGAGCGAATCGGGATAGCTCTGTAAACTTCCTCTCGTACTCACTAATTGACATCTCATTATTCTGTTCCAGCTGCGTGAACTCTGCTGCCTTTTTCTCCTTCATTGATTGTGGAAAGTATTTGTCATTGAACCGAGTTTTAAAATCATCCCAGGTCATAGTTGTAATGTCCACAACCATCCTGGTCTCTGACTGCCACCACTGGCGCGCCTCACCAGACTAAAGAAATGCACCAATCTTCCTTTTCTGCACCTCAGTGCAGTCCATCATCTCAAAATACTTTTCCATATCTTCAATCCACTTCTCAGCATCAAGGGGAACGGTAGCTCTAGCAAATTTAACAGCCCCCAATTTGCGGATATCTCTGATAAATCCAATCATAGGATTCGGCACATGAGGTGCATCCTCCAACTGAACATCGTCATGGTTAACACCACCACGACCAACACCTCCCTGAACTCTGCCTCTAGCAGGTCGTCCTCTGCCTCTTCCAGCTCCTGACATCCTATTTTCAGTAAAGAATGTCAATGATAAGCCTCATAAGTAATTTATACTTAAACTGGAGCATGGTAAGAGAGCAATAATTCGTATAAGTATATGCTCCTATTCTTACTATCACTTTTCTTAGCCAGGTAATTCTTAACCTAGGCTCTGATACCAAACTGTCACGCCCCAAAATCCTAAATACATGAACTCTTGTCTCGTATTAAGATTTGGCATGACTTTCTTTACACAACCACAACCTCACAATAAAAATAATTAAATAAAGAAGTAGATGTAAACCACCCTCTAATTTATTAAATCGATATAACCATAATATCAAACAACCTTGTCAAAAATAATCCATGATAATTGGACAAAATGAACTAACTCTCAAAAAAAAATATCGTCATTCTTATTACAATGCGAAAATTGAACTAAACCAAGGAATGCGACAACAAGCCAAAATCCATCACCATCATGTAATCCCATCACATTCCTACTCAACGTGTACCTGAAATGTGATAATGGGGTGAGCTCACAAGCTCAGCAATAAATGCTAAACACAATCATCGTTCAGTAATTTAACCTTACCTTATATTCCTGTATATATAAGCAACTCAAATAAGTTCATTATTCAAATGTGTATAACCCAGTTAATTATAAACTTAATAAATAACCATCTTTTATTTTTTAATAAATCGGCATATCTCACATGAGCCCCGAGCTCCCGTCCAATAAAATGGTGTGAATCGTATAGTCCCTGACTACCAAAAACACACGTGTGGCTGGATTGTACGTCTACTCCCCAGATGATCCCTGATCATGTCCACACAATAAGGGCTCATTAGACCCATGGCCATAATAAATGGGGTAGTGCACTCCCAAATAGGTAGGTCCCTGACCATACCCAAGAGTCATCATAGGGTCAGTCCCTGACTGCCCTCCGACTAATCCAAACTCATCATTATTAATTATAGTGAATTAGGAAAGATATCATTAATTAATAATTCAAATTAATAGTTAATGCACCCAAATATCATTTTAATTTGAAACCGGAACCCTAAAGATCCAACTAGTGAGAGTACAAAATTTCTGGACATAGCCTAACATTAGGTAAAATACCCTGCAAAATTTCAGAATTTATATCCTAATAGTTTTTCCGTACTCTCCCTTTTAGTGTTGAGAAATAATATTTTTTTAAGGTTTAATTTGGTAAACTTACATAATAACATTTAAAATATGGATTTTAAACAAAACTAGATTCATTATGCAAAAATATAATATTCTGGAAAATATAATAATTTTTGAAATGTTTAAAATATTTTTCCTTAATTATTCTAAGTTAAAACTAATAAGAAAAAAGAATTTTAAAAGAAATACTTCTAATTCAGTTGGGCCCGAATGTAGCTTCCCAGATTGGGCCTAGTGTTGACTAACATTAAATTCAACATGGGCTTGACTCTTCCTCACATACCAAGCCCTACAATGACAATGTAGTAACCCAAAAATTGAATTCTTCCTGCCCAATTAAGTAAACCCATATCTAACCAAAACCACTATTTCATTCCAACATCAATTGACCCAACATTCTATATTAACATTAATTAAGTTCATGACTATTGATTCTATTTACAGAGTAGAATTATATTCCTTCACAAATTCTATTCATTCAATGCATGTAGAATTTCGTCAATAACAGGTCCCTTCTTTCTTCCTTATCAGGTTTTCATTTAATTATATATATATATATATATATATATATATATATATATATATATATATTACATACTACACACATATGCATGCCTATCACCCATAATGAATTAAACAACAATATTGCCACATTGATTCCATACTTAAACATAAACAGACCAACAATCAACATTTAAATATTCTAAAAATTTAATTTTCTAAGTTCTGTTAATTCATTAATTACGCATGAAACTGCCAATCTATTTTTAACTAACATCTCATTAAAATGCTATTTGTCTTTAACATCACATATAGTGATTAATCAGCACAGTTAACAAAGAAAGTTACAAATATATATAAGTGTACAAAGGAAGATTAACTTGCCTGGTATAAATAATTCTTCCTTCCTACACGACTTCCCGATTACCGTTCCTTTCCCCGGCTACTGCAAGAAAACACGACGTCAAATCACTCTCTCTGGTCCCTTCTTCTCCCGTTATCGTGCTAGTATCTCTTTCTTTTTTTCTTTTTCTTTTTTTTTTTTTTATATATAAATAAAACGTATTAGAGAGTTATAGAGATAGAG